TCAGCAGGATACTGTGAGGTGAATCAAATACATAAGGGCCTTATCCTGAACTTCAGAGTTTCTACTGAAAGTAAATATCTGGATTCTTAATTTTAATTCAACTAATTTAAGTATTTTGCCCTGCCAAGTGTTTGGAACTAACAGCTAAGCTGAGTTTCAGCTAAGTGGAAGCATCAGGATGATAAATAGTGACAAAACATAAATGTTAATTTTTTTTTACTGAAGATCAGTATCTGGTAGTTGAGAATGAATGCATTTTAACTGTAATAAGGTGGCCATTTATTGAAATTGTCCGGATGAAAACAATTGTTTGCAATATGTGGGGACTGGGATGGACTGGAAAGAATTTATACTTTGAAGTTATTTTGGCTTGAAGAAACACTTCTACACGATACATATATTTTCTTTTTTAAACAGATCTATTTTCCTTGTATATCTAAAAATCATTGTTATTTGTGTAGGTTCATTGTTTTTATAGGAAAAAATACAGATGCCTTTTCTGTTTATTATAGTAATCATTTTTGGATAAGAGGTGAAATGCATAAGGAGAATATTAAGAAAGAGGTATGGCTGAATAACTTTGATTTTTTGTTTTGTTTTGTTTTTTCCCCACTTTTGAAATATGATCCCAGTCACTGCACAGAATGGTGAACTGTCTCCTTTCTGTCACTCCATCTGGATTTTATTATTTTAAATAGGGTTGTGGAGTGTTGGCATTCACTGATCTATGAAGTTGCTACCGCAAAAGTGTCTTGCATCTTAAGATGACTCGAGAAATGTACATGAGCTGTAAATGCTGCTTAAACAGAGGAATTATTTACAACTAACACAAAGCATTTTTACATGAAACTGTTTCAGCGTCCTAATAAAAGGAAGTGTCTGGATAACATTTCTTGTTGTGCTTTTATGTTCTTTGCAATTTTCATGCTAATAAGATAATGGACTTACTCTGTCTTGCTACTGATGGATTTTTCAGATTTTAGTTTCCTGTCCAGTGTGTGCTAGGTCATTGCAAAATATGCATAATAAAAGTCACATAAACTAATAAATCAGCTGAGCTGCAGATTGCTGAAAGTATCTATCAGGGAAGGACAGTTCTCTACGTGACCAATTTCTAATACTTAGGTAGCAGATACTTACAGAAAACTGCTGTTGGAAACTAGACACTGGGCCAAATAACAATTTTGCTGTGGCTCTGTATAGAATTTCTGATGTATCAACAAACTCTTCAGTCCAGGTGAAATATGCCCGAGCTTTGAAAGATCTTTACAGAAGAAAATACTGCAATTTTGCCTACCATGTTATATGGATAAGATTTCTCTATTTACTCCTGCTATTAGAGGCGCTCCCACCTGACTTTGCATGCTTTTTGGATAACTGAGCTGCATTTTACAACAGGGGATCCAGTATCGGCAAAAAACAACAAGTATCAGTCAGAGGAAAAACTTAAAGTAGAATTGGAAATGTATGATCTACTGATTAACTTATATTTGATGCAGACCAAAAATGAGAACATTTGGGGGCATTATGAGCAGAGATAGCGGTGTGATCATCCCACTCTACTCTGCACTTGTCAGACTGTACTTGGAGTTCTGTGTCCATTTCTGGTCCCCACAACTCAAGAAAGGCAATGACAGACTGGAGAAGGTCCAAAGGAAGGCCATGAAGATGACCAAAGGGCTGGATAACCTGTCCTGTGAGGAAAGACTGAAGGATTCAGGTCTTCCTAGAGAAGAGAAGGCTCAGGTGGGACCTTATCACAGTTTTCTTGTCCTTAAAGGGCATCCACAAAGAGGCCAGAGGCTCTCTCCTCACAAGGAGCCACATGGAGAAGAGAAGGGGCAATGAGTGCAAGTTGCCCCAGGAAAGGTTTCATCTTGACATAATGTAATTTTTTTGCAGTAAGAACAGTCAATCACCGGAAAACAAACTCCCTAGGGGTGTGGTGGAGTCCTCATCACAGGAGGTTTTCAAGACGCAACTGGACAGGGTGCTGGGTAATCTCATCTAGGCTCCCTTTCCCATGAAAGGTTGGATCAGACAATCTTTTGAGGTCCCTTCCAACCTGGGCTGTTCTGCGATTCTGTAGTTCTATGATTATAACTGAAGACAGGAAATGGCAATAATTTTTGACACTTGTACTATTCAAAATTGGTTTCTTTTGGAGCAAGCCCTTTGTTGATTACTAAAGAACATCACAGTAGGTGTTGGGGGGAATGAAGAGAAAGAATTTAAATGCAGTGCATTACAATAAGTATGTGTTAGACTGATG